CTATATTCGCCATCACCCTACCAGTCATCACGACTTTCATCGTGTTTCTGAGATGCTTCGCCCGCTGGACTGTTGCTCGCAAGCTGTGGTGGGATGACTACGTTACACTACTCGCCTTGGTATGCCTATCGCTATTCAAGTCCGTCATGCGAATTTAGGAACTGATGATCAAAAGGGTTTGCTTATTGTTCTATCGGCATGTGGTGTAGCGAGTAAGTTACCAACAGCTTTACAACAGCATGGGGGTGGAGGAACTGACTTCAATTTACAGTTTGTTCCTTGGGATTTGGGAAGCATTACTGGGTCATTGACCCCAACAATGCCAAGCCAATTTTGCAGGTAATTTGGCCCCCCTCCATGCCTATCTTTTCACTTCTAATCAGCTAATCACTTTTTATACATAGATGTTTTACGCGATGCAAATCATATATGTCCTTGTAACGTGAGTCTTGCTCTGGAGCACTATATTGGACTATTTGAAGCTGAATCTCAGTAGGATTACTGCAAAGATCACCATCTGTTGTTTCTACCACCGAGTCTTCCCTAGCAAGCGATCACAGATAGCTGCAAAGGCTGCCATTGTGGTGCTTATTATTCGTGGGCTCGTCGTGGTCTTCTTAATCGCTTTCCAATGTGTCCCACTTACCGCAATCTGGGATAAGTCGGCCAAGGGGCAATGTCTTAACCTCACGGCGATCGGCTACGCGGGCGCCATCTCCGGCATTGTTGAGGATGTGGTACTTCTCATCATGCCGATCCCCGAGCTTCTGCACCTGCAGTTGGGGCTCAAGAAGAAGCTCGGTCTGATCTTCATGTTCTGTCTTGGCTCATTGTAAGAAGCAATGAATCTTCCCGAGTTAATTGAGAAAACTAATCAGATATTCAGCGGATGCATCGCCAGCGTGGTTCGACTCAAATACCTAGTCTCCTTTGCAAATAGCTTTGACCCAACATGTATGTTATTAACCCACATCATTATGTCGAAAAGTTCGATGGCCACTAACATTCTTGATACTAGGGGACAACGCTGATGTTGTCAGTTGGAGTGGCGTCGAGGTGAATGTGGCCGTGGTTTGCGGCAGCTTGGCGGCATTACGGGCACTGTTCAATTATCTTGTACCTTACTTCACCACTGTAAAAGAGGAGACTAGTGAAAGCATGTACTCTTTACGGGAGGAAAGGAAAGAAGGAGCAATTCCAGTTTAAGAAAGATCAAGAAAGATTAAGACAATGTTCCGAGTTATCCTTGAAAAGCATCTCAAGACCTAAGTACAAGGAATCGTTGTGGTTTTAGTGCGAAGAACTCAGAAATAATAGACCTACTTGGTCTATAGGGGTATGTTTAAACTCCCTACCAGGTAGCGTGGGTCTGGCCAGGGTAGAGCAGTGACTCTCAATGGCCAAATTTGTGTTCGACGTGCACAAGAATCTCGAAAGTAATGCTGCTGATGTAATCTCCAAAAGCACAGGCGAAGATACCTGACAGGGAGGTTAAACTTTGGCCTGATACCGCAGTAGGAGCCAGATTCGCTGGCTGGATCCGAGGTGTGTTCAGCCTAAGTCGTACCCTCACAAACTCTACCCTGGCCCGCCACGTACAAAACGGAACCACAGCCGGCAGAAGAAAGCCAAACTGACTCATATGTCTACTTACGGACTCCGCTTCGTTTGACATGCTTTTATTCAGCTAGGCCTTGCAGATGCCAACGTATCTGAACAGAACATCGCATTGCAGAGATTTCCAGGGCACGCACCATGCACGTTGGTAGATTTCGACTGGCTTACACATTCAGGGCACGTAAACTAGTAGATGTTCATGCTCCGCGTTCTGGACTGGCCAGCATTCATGTCCAATTTTCGACATGATTATGGTCCTCCAATCAGAGTTTGATCTCTATGAACATGCGGCTGCACTCGCCATGATATGGCGGTGTGCCAAATTACTAGATATACACTATCTACATAGTCCGCAAGCACGAAGAAATTGTGAGATCTGTGAAACCCTAAGAGGAGGGAGGTTACAAGAAGAAGCAATTTTTGTACGACAAGCCTACGAAATCACTGACTTGGCTAGTGTGGAGAAGCACTGGAGATATGATGGTAAGTGGATAGACTTGACCCTTTTACCCGTCAAGAATCCTACGTATTTGTGAAAGTCTGTCTATCAGTCTTTCCCCTCTTCGTTTCGAATCCATAGAAATTGAATACAATCATCCTACAACTCATATAATTCAACTTGTGGAGTTGTAAGCTGCCTTGATATTACTTAACTCTTCCGCAGTAAGGGAAATGATAGTACCGTGGCGAGGAGAGGCAGGGTACTTATAGTCTTTCGCGATTTCTATCTCCCGTTGGCAAGTTCGGATGACTCAAGTGGAACATAGCCATTGCCGCCAAATTCGTCAGTCAGCATGATGTACCTCGGCCCATTGATATCTTGACAGTTTGCCTTGAAGATAGAAGGGCACTCCACCTTGGTCCCCGCGCTTTTATCAAGGCAACTGGCTACCCTAGCCTAGTCTGACAGTCCAACAATTAGGTTGGAGCTCTTCTCCTGTACAATGTCTGCGCAGCCATCTATAGTGGCTTTGATGAAGCGATAGTAAGTTTTATTCTCCCTGATCAATGTGGAGTCGATCCGGCCTTTGGGAGGCTCGTATTGCCAGATCTTTTGCTCACTAGAAGTTTGAAAGTCTTGCGTGGTAGCCTAGACCATTCTCTGGCACTAGAGAGGATCGCGCTTAGGATTGGCCGTGCTATTGTAGATGCTGGACGCCCAGTACATAACGTAGGTCTGTAGCTCCTCGTCATAGTACGCCTCAGGTGCGCAAGTATTGCCAGAGTTATCCGGTGATACTAGGACATGGTGTTGAGCACTGAATATAATAAGGTCCTCCGACTCCCAGACCTCGAGATGACGACTACGAAGACTCTAGGCCTCGCCCTAAGACGTGCCGCAGGCGATGCAAAAGTCCTTGGATATGAAATAGAACTTGTTGCCTGCGCGGGAACGCATAAGGTAATGAGAGTGTCACGAACTCCACCATGCCCATCAGTCGATTTCAGGATCAAATGCCCATTGTTTAGCTCTGTGAAGAATAAGGCATCGTTTCCGTTACTGGCAGTCAGATGGATATTCTTGTCGCGGTTTCTGAAGTATAGAAATGTGCATCTCTCGTAATGAGAGATGCAATCGATCTGGCGCTTTGTGTACCATAGGCTTATAACGCTGCCAAGGTGTGTTGGTGATCCCGCGGCGAGTATAGCTACAGAAGCTAACGTGCCGATGGCGCGCATTGGGCTAAAGTTGAGAAACATTGTGATCAAAACCTATTGCACACCGCCTATTATCAGAGGCCACCAAGGTAGTAGAGTGAGGCTGTCTGTGTGGGCACGTTAATCAGGAGTGTCAGAGTTGACACTTCTGTCATCCCGAGCGACTCTTGAATACGTGACACGGCAGCCTGGCAGGTAATCATACCTGTTTGATCCACTGGCAAACCCAGCTTGGCAAAAGTTTTTTAAAAAGAGAACAGAGAAAAGAAAAAAGAAAACCCTGGTTCAATCTTCGTACTACTTACTGTTAGCTTAGGCGCTCGCTGTTTAGGTAGGTACATAGCGCCATTTCAGCTGGGAGAGTAAATAGAATACCTATTTGTGCTTATAGCTCGTCAGTGGCCAAGCTTTCTTGTAGTTCCTATGTACTGTAGCTAACCAAGGTATGCTAGCCACCTCACAAAAAGAACAGTTTAAATTAATAAGGACATGAAGTTAAACCTTAAGCCAGGAACGCCAATCGCAGGCTTCACTCTAGATTCCCCCGGACGTGACAAACGCCGACCCGGTAAATGACCCGGCACGCCGGACCCGCTTACCAAGAGTGGACTGGTGATTGGAGCGCGTCAATGGGATCCACGTAAATGTTGTCGATCCCACGTTATCCATTCTTACCCCAGATTATCTTCCCCGTGAGAGCCCCCGATTCTCTTCCCCGCACGAATACGGAGTAGCTCATTGTGACTTGGGAATATAGACAGCGACCCGCCCCAATCTTGCGTCGCAATGCGTCGCAAGTCCCTTTAAACATAAAGCGCTACTCGGTATTTTGGAACCCGAGCTGATATGCTGATGCGACATTCTTGCGAGGAGTCAATGTTTGTCGTGTAGAATCACGGAATTTCCAAAACACACATAAAAACCTCGAGCGACAGAGAATAGTGATCATAGTGAGTTCAGTCCAGTCTTTGCACGTATTATGTCCCATCATATCGCCGAATCTTGAAGATGCGTGCCTTCTCAGCAATTAGGTGTCTCGCTGGTCTCTGGCCATGCCTCACTTATGGCTTCGTTAATCCTATTAGGACAGGGAGCGACCCGCACATGGTGTATGAGAATGGAATGTGAGTATCACGTGCTAGCATTGATTCTTTGTCAGTGTTTATAATTCATCTCAGGTACTATTTGACCTCCACAACGTGGACCGATGTGCGCATCACCGCCGCCTCCACAATCGAAGGTCTCAAGACAGCAGAACCTCGCGTCATCTGGTCCGATACCACGAACCCGGCCAGAGCCTGCAATTTCTGGGCCCCTGAGATGCACAAGCTTGGCGATCGGTGGTACACATACTTTACGGCAAGTGTATGCAACTCCGACTGGGGTATCGTGCTGCCGTCTTTGAGAGTGTTTGTTCTCGAAGGCGGTGAGGAGAGCCCATTGTCTGCAAATTACACATTGCTAGACTCGATTGTTCCTCCAAACTACGATGGAGGGATGCTTGATGCGGTATGCTGTACGACAATTTCATATCAATTACACGACTGACACAATAGCCTCTAGACTGTTTTTGAGATTGATAATACGAAATACTTTCTGGTATGTCTATTTTTCTACAACCCTGTCAGGTACAGTAAGTCAAACCCCCCACTTCCTGGCACCCCCCTGTTTCTGGCACCCACAAAAACGATGGGATCACAACCCAACCTCCTCATTACTATTAACTATTGATCCTCAACCACACCCACTACAATACAACTGCCAGCCTCACTAGGGCATTCAGAGTCGCTGGATTCAGCCGTAATAACCTCCTTTTCACCCGCTTCGATTTGAGCCCGATGGATATCCCTGATGTTCGCAAACTTCGTGTTGGGATCGATCTGAACAGTCTTCCTCTTCCTAACTGCAGCGTTGGTAACTTGAGCCCTCAGGTGAGCCAGCTGCTGCTGGGCAGCTGCCAGTTGCCAGGCCTGCTCTGTGAAGCCTTTTTTCACCTTCCTGAACAGCAGCCGTTGAGTGCTGGTATCATTGTCGAGTTGGGTGTAAGTGCAGTTGACCGCTGAGCTCTGCCAGCTTCCTGGGTGTCGACCAGACCACTGCAGAGGAAGCAGAATCCCATGGCTCAACAGGGGTAGTTTGTTGACCATTATGGCATCGCTTTTGCCCCGACTGGTTGGTTTGGGTGTGGTGGGTTAGCAGAAGGCTCAGGTAATACCATAGGTTCATCAGGGGCTTAACCATCGCTACAGGGTGTAGACCAGTCCACTTCCAACCACTTCTGATGTTCGAGACTGATAGACCAGCAAGTCGAGCCTTCTGGTAACAGTCCAGGAAGTTCCTTTTACCTATAATGGTAGAGTCGTTCCATTGAGACAAGTAACCGAGCTCCTTCCGATAGGCTGACTTAACAGGGCTGAAGACAGACTGGTCAAGTGGCTGGAGGACATGAGAGGTGTGGTGGTAAGAACAGTAAATGGATATTGTTAATATAGCAATTCCACATGAAGTCTGTCGTCGTATGACTCCCATGCCCATCCACAATCAACAGTCGAGCCTCGCCCTCAGCCTCGGGCATAGTCTGTGGGATAAACACCTTCTCTAACCATTCAATGGCAGTTAAGTCTGTAGTCCAGCCATTATCTGTTGCTGTAAACTCCCACCCATCGTATGGAACCAGATGTAATGGAAACCACTGTTGTTGGACCGTCTTCCCTTGAAAATGATAAGAGGACGAAGTGCCCTACCCAAGGCTGAGATACACTCAATGATAGAGACCCATGCCCTCGACCCAGGTTGTTTCTTGCGAACAGACGTCGTCTCAGCCATGCCCAGCACTAACCCATTAGCTCCTGACCCTCGAGGATGCCAGTCTCATCCATATTATATCTGTTGGCTGGTTTGATGTCCTTGATCTCAGGGATAGCAAGGAACTTAAACCAGTTCCTAATGACCTCAGTAGATGCCCCATTAACGCGTCTAGAATCGATGGAACGACTTCTCTGAACCTTAATGATAGGGTTCCTTCTCACGAAGGCATAGATCCAGCCTTTCCTAATGGTTTGGTATCCCCAGCAGCAGCCAGAACTCGCTCTGCGAATTCCTTCACCTGTTGGTGCGTTGGTGCGAGGCCCAGCGAAGCCTGAATGCGAACCCATTGTGCCAGCTTACTCTCCTGGTCAGGAGACAGCCTCTGCCAGTCAGCAAAGCCACTTTCCTAGTCTGACCACCTTGGAGACGTAGTTGGAGGGTTGATCGTGGTATCCCATATCCAATGAGGCTCTTTGACTCTTGCCGTTTGAGATGTCCTCGAGAGCCTGACGAAGCTGATCTTCGGTATATTGAGTATATTGAGGCATTAGATATAGAAGAAGGTATGCAAAAATGAGCCCATTTGGACTCGAATTGAAAATGTTGTGATAAAAGGAGGTTGGGGGTGGGCATTGCGTTGTGGTGGATTTTCGCGTTTTTGTGGGTGCCAGAAACAGGGGGGTGCCGGGAAGTGGGGGGTTTGACTTACTAACAATTATCTAGTTCTCTGCGGTCAAGGGCCCTATCAGTCCTGATGGTGCATCACTCTGGATCGCTGAACTCCTATCGCCAACAGAATGCGGTAATGCCACAATGATAGCAGCCCCCGAGTACGAATGGGAGAAGGAAGACTCTGCCGTTCTCGAGGGACCGTACGGAGTAATTTCGCCTTGTGGCACGATTTACGTAGTCTACTCAGCCGACTCTTGCAGCACGCCGGCGTACAAGCTCGGCGCCATGAAGTTCGCTAAAGGCGGCGATCCGCTCAGCCGAAGCTCATGGACCAAGTTATCCCAGCCCATCTTCGAAACCAAGAACGGACTATATGGACCTGGCCATAATGCCTTTTTCAAGAGCCCCGACGGGACACAGGATTGGCAGGTGTTCCATGCCAACCTTAATCCTGGCGATGGATGTGGCACCACTCGAAAGGTTTTTATCCAGCCTGTAAGCTGGACTAACAATACAGTTGACCTGGGCGACCCTCTGCCAGTCGGCACTGAGATCAATCCACCTAGTGGCGAGTAAGATGATTCCACAAGATGATTCCACAAGGCATATGGCTAGAAGCAGCCGGGCATACTTGACAGAGAACGTTCAAGCCGCGGATGATCATTACGAATTGAATATAACTCACAACGTATAACACTCTCAACTGCGCTCAACACTGAATATTAGTAAAAGTAGAATTGACGAAAGGGACTTTTTGAGGCACGAAAAGTTGACCGGCATGCTGTGGAATCGCCCGCTTGTGACAAAAGTTACGAACACAGACAACCGCAGCAAGTGATAATGAAACACCATATGCCTGCTGCGGCTTTCTCTCTTAGCCACATGTTTTGTAGAACGCGGCTGCTGTAGATACATGACCAAGGCGAAGCTACTCGACTGTGCCCTCACAGTTCCTCTAATACTTCGACTCGGGAGTCTCTGAGCCTAGAAGCTGACGTCGTCACGCCTACTACCAATATGGACTTTCTCATCATTCATCCATCATTCTGTATTCCCGGAGACTTCAGACTACCTCAGACAGTTCTAGCAGGTAGTATCTGTTGAGTAATAGGTCCCTTTTTCCATAATCATCACGCTGTCAGTGCGGTCTTTGGGTCGCGTGTCGTCAGCCAACCCAGGCGCTCCTTTACCCATCATAAAATATCTCCTTGCGACCGTAGTCTGATCTAGGATTGCATTACCAGGGGCCATTGCAAACAAGATAGTGTCTACAGTCACATTTACACCTAATCCGAGGTATCTTTACCCTACCAACGATCAAATGTCTTTCTTGTCTTCAACAACGCTCGCGGTAGGCTAACTCATTCACACGGCAAACCTTTCAAGCTAGCACGAAGTTCATTAATCATGCATTGGACCATGTAGATATCGGATCAAGGAAAGTGGAGCAATTTCTGACTTGATATGGCTGATTCAATTTCCCTCAACATAACAATAGATAGATAAAGAGATCTCATGGCCCGTGCCGGCTTCAAAGTTTCGACTTCGATCCTGCCGCTCAATGTTGCAACTCGGCAAATGCGATTTCATAGTCGCTTTCTAGTTTTAGCTTGGTTGGGGTACAGACGAGAAACCTTTCATTTCTCTAGCTGTGGGGACAAATGCCAACTTAAACTTCAGATTCCCTTAAAAACGCATTAGTCGTTATTCCCTCCCTTAGCCGGATGAACAGATGGCCGGTTTGGCACCAACAACCCATGGTCGATAGCGCGAAACTATCGAGTTGTGTGACATTAGTCAATCTAGACAAAAGGACTTTCGATCCGAGGTACCTGAGTCTGTTAATAATGCTACCTAGAACGTAAAGTTTATGATGAGAGGTCACCAAGGTGCACACAATGGCAAATATGTGCAAGTGGAATATGGACGAGCCGGTGTAAGCGACGTCTTGTTTATGACCCCTTTGGGCAACAAGGGTTTGAGAATCTCTCCTGGGCCAATAGTAGCTACGTACAAGGCCAAGTCCTTCACTGTTCCTAATCGGGCAGAAAATCATACTGACAAAGTGACACTCATGTGATCAAATGCGATCTTGCAATCCTAATGCCTATGTAACTCGGCATCATCCGGATCGGACCAGATGAATGTTCCTGGTCGTAGTTATCCCTTTTTGTGCTAGAACTCCGATCTAGTCTTGGCTTTTGTCTTTGATTAGATACTTGGAGTCGGGGACCCAATGCAACCCAGGGATATTACCCTGCAGCAAGGAACGGCTAGCCGGTGAAGTTTTCCCTGTCCGGGCTCCTACCCGTACACGCGTATAACAACACAAAGAGGGTATCATGCAACCTTCGGCGACACACAAAGCCCGAAGCCCCTTTCCCTGGCTGACAACAGTTATACAGCAAGCGATATGCCGTCCTTACCACCCGGCTCTTCATGGTGTTATGCAGCTTTGAAGCTTATTTGTCTGTTCTTCTGTTTGGGACACTCTCGGCGTGGGGGCCGAGAGGCAGCCAATTGGGATCATCTCGGGTTTTCCAAAGGTTCTGTCTAGGTAGTGTTCGGGGATGTCACCCATGCTTCTGGAAATTCCTGATTTCACTTTGGCCGGCTTCTGTTACTCTAGTCGCAGGATCGTGTAGCGCTGGGAATGACCAGAAATCGAGTTCATGGGTCCATGCACTGGCACTGCGAAAAGTTCATGGAGCGATATTTCTTAATAGTTTCTCCTTGGTCGCGACATAAGACCCGATACATCGGGCAGTGAGCTTGGCATTTTAAGGCCGGGATCCTAGGCGCATGGGGGCTGTGTCTTTATCCCACAACCGTCACGCACACCGCAACGCAACGCAACACAACCAACGCAACCAACCAGGGAGTCAAGACCACTCTGAGAAACGGAAAGAACGGAGTAGTTCCAAGAAGCGATTCATTAAGTTGAAGTCAACGCTAGAGCACGATTTCGAACTATGAAAATGAGATGGCTTCTCTTTTTCAACGACCCATGGGGTACAGCGGGCCACTTCGTAGCCGCAGTACCCAATCTGCACATCGAACATGGTCTGCAGGGTCTAGTTACGTGCCAGAATTGAAAACAACATTTCATCCCTAATCCACGGGGACATGAAGTCTGGCCAGGAAGCTTAGCTGACCATTCAGGTACCGACAGCATTTCTCACTTTGTCGGTTTCTAATGCAAGCCAGATGCCCGCCCAGCCGCTGCATAGGTGAAAGCAGCCAGAAAAGCAGAGCGCGGTTCCGGATTTTGCAACGTCTTTGCATTGTATCCGTATGCCAATGGCGTTTCTGACTCAAACAATAGATAGCACAGAGATAAAAATGAAGACAAGAAAGCTTGGTGTAAGTTTTCGGAGTGCTCAGTCGACGAAACCATCCGGATACGAGCTTTTGTCAAGGGCTCAACGACCATCCATTCTCCCGTGTCCACTTCTCACCCTCATCCTGGCAATTGTGAGAATGAGAAATCTTACTTTCTCATTCCGAATATGAGCAAGGCGGAAGCGGGGACAATACATGTGACCGCCGATCCGTCATGAAGTGCTGAAGGCTCCTAGGAGATCCTGTCCAATGAAGTTTAACACGGTCCCTGGTAACTACCGACACCTATCTAGTTACCGGAATTTGATGCGTCAGCTCAACTGTACGACAGTCGGGGCATGAGGCGCAATGTACATTGGTGAACCAGAATGTCGATTTGCTGTGTATACTGTCAGCCTGTTCCTCCGCCGTATCCCAAGCCTGTGCCCAGTAGCTCCCGTCCACACAAGCAAAGTGTTCTGTAATGATTGAGTAGTCACTTCCTATGGAGTAACTGCAATGTCTCCCATCTTCCCTATGTCACTGCGCATGGTATTCGGTAGGTTACCGTCGAAACTCGGCTAAGGCACAGGCATATTGATTGAAGTTTGAAATCTAGGCTGCAGAAGCCGAGGAGTACTCGGAACAAAGGTACAAGAACCAAGTGAGAAATGAAAGATTAACAAAGTTACTCAAAGGGATATCACTTGCTCGACGTCCAATATGATTCTGATCTGATTACGCAGAAAGTCGAAAAGCTAATATCTCGCAAACTGTACTTCAGAAGAGGTTGAACAGACATCTCCTTCTCTTTCCTTATCTGGACCGTCGCTGAACTTGTCGCTATCTTGGCCACTGCGCCGTTGCTTCGATTGGGTGTGTATTGTAATCTCAGTTGTCCTTGTCGGGTATTCATTATTGGTTGGATAGTTTATGTCTCCTTTCCCAATGCGAACCTCGTACTCGGGCTCCTCAGTGTTGGCGAAGTGTTTTGACCTCTCGCCGTTGAATGTCTCGAGTGCGATATCATGGGTTTGTGCATTCCCTTGACTACGCACGTAGGCGCTGTTATTCGAAGCCCCCCGTGTGACTTCGACGAGCAAGTTGAGAATGCTGAACTCTAGCTTGAGTTTGATGCTATATGCTAGGGGCTTCCAAGCCGTCTGAATATCGTACAGATTGGTGAACTCGAGAGCGAGGATGGTAACGTCGAGGAGAATGACCAGAATATTCACCCAGATTAGGTGGCTCATGACCTTTTTGGCGCGTCCATCGCCGATGCTGTTCATAAGGCGAACGCGTTTGGTTGTTTCCCAAACGTATAGTGCAGAAATGATGATTTCTTGCACGAAGAAGACAGTGAGCTGGATCTTTTCAAAGATCTGGTAAGGCTTATTGAATGGTTCCGGATTCGCTGAGTTTACACCATAAACTAGGATGATGATGGGTATATGCAGCCAGATTGCGTCGGCGATTATCATGTAGAGCACTAATCGCAGGCGTTTCCGGTCATGTACGACAATGTGTAGTCGTGAGTATAATACAACTGATTGTCCCGTGATCATTGAGCACCAGCCGATGAGAATGAGGGTAGCGTAGATGATGGGCTTCGTCGTCAGGGACAGGTGTCTCAGCAGATAGCCGGTGCCATTGAAAGCTATGCCCCATGTTGCGACTAAGATACTCCAAAAATACAACCCGGAGCGTCTCTTGAAAGAAGTAAAGATCGAAATAGTGAGTTCGAGAACATTGTAGAAAGCAATGCTGATGAAGACACAAATGACGATGACGATGATGGTTTCTTTTGTGTTGATGCCGTCAGCCTCTGCCATGGTTGCCAGTTGTCTTTGAGTTATCAGAACTGGTGGTCGGGTCAATGGAGGAATACGTCTGACAGGAAGAAAAGGATCATTGAGGCAAGGAACGTGATTATCACACATTTATGAAGAGCAAAGTTGTGCTGTCTATAGATAAGCTAGGATCTCACGGTTCAGATTCAGGTTCTTCATCATCATCGGGTGTTTTTGGCGGAATATGGCAGGGAGAACACGAGTTGGTCGACCAAGACCCCTCCATCAGGATCATGTCGCGAAACAGCAGCTTGGCATATGCTTTGGAGGTGCCGTGACCAATGTAGCACCAGAGTCATTGAAACCATACTACTTTTCCAAATCCGATTAAGTCGAACCACTGCCAAGACCCGGGGAACCACTCCGTAGTAGCTAAAATTCGGAGTGGGTGTTCTGGGGGCAGCTTCATTGGCACGGTCGCATTCCATACTCTTCTTCCCAGATCGTAGTCATTAATGGGCTAGTTTAGTGTCCCCACGTAACTGCAAATGTGACTATGCAATTTCACGCTTGCAAGGGTTCATCAACGCGGGGAACTTGCACAGTAGCATACAAAGCTCATGGTACCCAACCTCTGGAACCATCATCTCACTCGTTACACACCACAACCAACCACAACACACTCCTTGAAACTCAAAAAATAAAAAAAATGTCGCGCTCACTGGCGGTCGTCGCTGTTGGTTTCCTCATGCCCCTAGGACTCAGCTGTGCAGCCGGAGTTCCCGCTGCAGCTCAAATCATTGACTGGAAGAGCTTCAACGTTCTTCCGACAGTGCTCCCTCCTGCAGAAGCCAACGACTCTACGGTCCTAACCCCCCAATTGGACTCTTGCGAGCTATTCTTTGCTAACTTTTTCGTAGCTTTTCCTATGGCCCGGCGTGACGAAAGAGTCTCTTGAAGCCAAACCCTTCCATATTTACGACCCCGAGTTCTACGATGTCATTGGACAAAACCCCTCGCTGACGCTGATTGCTACCTCTGACACGGATCCCATTTTCCATGAGGCCGTTGTCTGGAATCCTCCTACCGAGGAGGTCTTCTTCGTCCAGAACGCTGGCGCTCCTGCTGCAGGTACTGGGTTGAATAAGTCATCCATCATCCAGAAGATCTCACTTGCGGAAGCCGAGGCCGTGCGAACAGGTTCCAGAGCTAATGCTACCGTCACCGTTGTCCCTTCGCACCCGCAGGTCATCAATCCCAACGGTTGGTCGTTCCATAACTTCAACTCGACATGACATCAAGCTTACATCAGCAGGTGGCACAAACTACAAGGGCAACATCGTCTTCGCTGGTGAAGGACAAGGTGATAATATCACTTCGGCACTGTATCTGATGAATCCAGTGGCTCCTTTCAACACCACAGGTCAGCTCGGCTTGCCCCAGGTCCAAGAATAAGCGCATGAAACTGATTTCTGCAGTCCTCCTGAACAACTACTTTGGTCGTCAGTTCAATTCACTCAACGACGTTGTCATCAACCCTCGTAACGGGGAGCTGTACTTCACCGACACCCTGTACGGCTTCCTCCAGGATTTCCGCCCTCCGCCTGGCCTGCGTAATCAGGTCTATCGCTACAATTTTGAGACCGGTTCTATTGCTGTCGTTGCCGATGACTTCACTTTGCCAAATGGTAAGTTACTTGTCATTGGGAAAATGATGCATGTCTCACAACCACTAGGTCTCACCTTCTCACCTGATGGCCTGAAAGCCTACGTCACTGACACAGGCATTGCCCTCGGATTTTACGGTCGCAATCTCTCGTCTCCCGCCTCAGTCTACTCATTTGACGTGAATGAAGACGGCACCTGGGAAAATCGCAAGACCTTTGCTTACACTGCCGCTTTCATCCCCGATGGTTAGTATTTTGCTTCAGTAGTCCGATTTCGAAATCTGACTCTGTATAGGTGTTCACACTGACTCTGTTGGCCGTGTCTACGCTGGTTGTGGCGATGGTGTTCATGTTTTCAATCCTTCCGGTAAACTCATTGGTAAGATTTACACTGGCACAACAGCTGCCAATTTCCAGTTCGCTGGAGATGGCCGAATGATTATCACTGGACAGACGAAGTTGTTTTATGTCACACTTGCGGCGTCGGGTGTAGCCATACAGTAGTCCACAAGGAGAGCATGTGGCTATCGGTTGGGCACGCATTGTATTCCAGAAGATACTATTAATGACGATGTGGTGCGTTCCATGTCAAACATTGACTGTCTGCTTTTCTGCCTGCAGAATGCTTTACATTCTCGGTACAAATGCTTTCTAAATGTCTATGATCCTTTCTTTAGTTAAGCGTCGCCCCATTTTGTATTCATAATACATAATCATCCCTTCACCAAGACGCCCTTACAAGCTGAGGGTATTGTGATTGTATCTTTTCCTGAGGTGAATGTGTTGATGACAGGTTTTCAATTTCGATAGGGGCCACCTGGTAGATGTATGAGCTTTTCCTCATCAACGACGTTTGTCGTTGACCGTATGTGTTTCTTTCCATCAGTCATGTCACCGTTATCGTCAAAAGACTGAATTCAATAATCTCAGCACAGCAGACTAGCTCTTCTAGAAAAGCTACTCTCTCGCATCATTCTACTTATCTCTATCAAGCCCCATAGAACACGACGCTTCTTAGTTGCCTATACCAAGATATCGCATCGCACATAGCATGGCAGAATTCGGTCTGTTGTCAGTCACGTGCTATTGTCTCAATGAAAGCGAATCGACGCTCTAGAGACGTGATTCTTCCACAACAACACTCTCATGCCAATTAAAATCTTCGGCCCTTTGACCGCCACTATTCCATATTTCAACTGAATCTCCGAGGTAATAACTAAGAGATCCCTAAACTAATCTAGACTTCCTTCTACCTCATACTGGCTTGGTGCCGAGGACTAGGATGCTCTGGATCAGAGGCACAGCATTTGCTTGCGTGACCTGGAAGCGGACACGGGAGGTCTCCACGGCCGCTTCGAGTCTGTCAATCCGTTTATAGCCAAGTGAAGTACCGTTAACAACGGTCTTGAAAGCTCCGTTAACAACGCAGTCAATGGCATATCCGCCGACTCGCTGGCCGAGTGCAATGTGCTCTTGGACGACGAAGGCATCGACGAGCACCGTGCCACCCAAATCAATCTCGACCCAGCCGGTACGTTCCCCATCTTCCATGGTCCAATAAGTATCAGGTGAAGAGGTCAGAACGTTTGCAGGGCCGAACGTGGTAGAGTTGATCCCGCCTCGAACACTACTGGCTGTGACAACTGACTCGGGACCGGTCAAGTTCCGACCAAGGAAGGCGTCCCTGAGACTTTTAAACTTCATGAGAGCATTGATGTCCTCCTGGGTAATTTGGCCCGTTGTATCCGGCGGCACATCGAGCAGAAGACTGACGCTCCGCCCAACAGACTGCAGGTACATGTCCAAGAGCTGTTGTCCCGTCTTGGGCTGTTCATTGGCGTGCCAGAACCAGCCGGTGCGAACCCGAGCGTCGGCCTCGGCAGGGGTCCAGTACAGTCCATCTCGCAGCCCTGTCTCGAGATCTGTTTCGCTCAGGCGATCTTGGTCCTGCGTCCGGCTGATGGTATGCCAATTGGTGGAGACCGTGACGCCGTCTTCGTTGCCCACCCATCGAGCGTCCACGCCTTGGTGACCCCACATGACTGCCGCTGGTTGGTGAGAGCGGATGATGTCCCGGAACCCAGCCCAGTCAAAGCTTTGAACGGTGCTGGAGCCGCTGGCGCCGTCCAGCCAGATCTCAAAGAGCGACACGGGGCTGCCGTCTTCAAGAGTCATGTTGACGAGTTCCGTGAGTTGACGGCGGTAGAGATCGTTGTAGTCGCCCGCAGTATCATCACCAAAGATCTGGGGCTCATCGTAGATAGTGCCGTTGAGTAGTGGTTTGGGCATAGCTGGGTCACGGTGAATATCCCAGGGTGACAAGTAAACGCCAAACTTGAGATTAAATTTCTTGGCTGAGACGGCTGCCATGCGGACCACATCCGCTTGCAGCCCGGATGCTGAGCGATTCTTGGCCCAGCCGCCGTTGGCAATCTTGTAAGTAGTAGTTGAGGTGTTCCACAGCGCCATGCCATCGTGGTGTTTGGCCGTTAAGATCATGCCGGACATGCCCGCATCGGAAAAGGACTTTGCCCACTGGTCGGTGTCGAGCGCCGTCGGGCTGAATACGTCAGGAGTCTGCTGGCTTCTACCCCATTCCTCATCGGTGAATGTGTTGGGCCCAAAGTGGATGAAGGCGTAGTACTCCATGCGGTGCCAGTCGAGCTGACGTTGGACAGGGAACTGCAAATATTCGGCTGGAGGAGCAATATCCTGGCCATTGACCTTGCTGATGGCCAACATGAGGCATGCGGCCATCACGAGCAGCATCTCACGATATAGAGAGCTCATTGTTTTGCTTAGCCGCCCCAAAAGTCGAAGCATGGTGGTGAATGAATTTAGTAGTGACTGGCCGGCTACTTTTGTGGCATGATATTCTAGTCGATCTCTCAACTTTTTGGAATCACTGGCTGTTTATAGTCGGGACCTTAATATATTAAGAAGTGGTTTCCCCTCATTTGCACGGCTACATGGGTTATGCTCAGCCGATTAAAATGCAATGCCCCACTCTGTCTCGGTGGTGATGTTACCTCACCACAAGCTTAACTTCCTAATAGGGCATGGAGACTTGTCCATGAAACGTCACATGCGAGCTATTGCCTTTGGAAAAGGCTTCTTTTTTTTCGTCTTTTTTGGGGATCTTATGTTATCTATCCAACTACGGCCCTCAAAATGCATTGTCTGACGACTGGATTTGTTATCAAGACCGACTGTCGTTTACCGGAAGTAACGACAGGATAACTTCTATCCACTCATTTTTGTCTTTAAGTTTTGCTAACGAGAGGCAGCGCATGTGTTCCGCTCTCTGACCAATGAACGTGCGTTTCCTAAAATATGCTTCGGCGCCATACCTTGCTGACTGCTCGCGGATGGGAACCATGAATGAATACGTACGACGTCATCTAATGGGACCGGTCATTAATTACCAACTAAATAGGTTTATTTAATTTCACTGTTGCAATGCGTAGTGCAGTTGTGTGTGTCCAGCATTTCAATCACTAATTTACGTAAATGTAAGTGGGTCGCCTCTTAGAAAACAAATGTTCTTTAACAAAAGGTAGCATATTCTTGATTTCTGCATAGCGTCTTTAGCACGTTCTCGTGCCTATATACCCAGGGAAATACCGGGGAAATAATACCAGCCACACTAACTTTAAGCTACACTTTACTCTAGCTAAATTTTTTCTAAGTGCGCACGTCTCACTAACACAGCTCAAAGACTCGGATAGGGGTGACTTAATACGTGAATTCAAACCAAAAACACATCACATACAACACCAGGTATTCGCTGGTCGTCACCGACCCAACTACTAATCCGGCCCTCATTGGCTTATCTATGGGAGAGCGGACGGGATCCCGAGTTTTCCAATAGGTATGGTCGTATGTACTTGTACGACCAACAGCACATTAATATATCCGGAGTGCATTCATTAGCAGGTACAGATGGCAAGAGGTTTCTGGCTCCTTGCTACTCGACATAAATCTTTTCGCCAAGAGATCATATCCCAGTATAAAGGATAAGCATAATTCTTGCTCTTAGTTTTACATCCAGGTTCAAGATGCAAGGAAGCATAACAAAGACTTACGCTCGCTAGATTTATCTAGTTTATTACAGTCTCTTATTCATAGCATACCTCTTATACTATTTACCATCTTCTAAAAAGGCTTAACTATATAAGAGACCTCACCGCTAATCACGATACGTGATCTCGGCTCTATCTGGGATCCATCTTTGTTTCCCCAGTAGATCGCATTTCAACCTTCGTTCTCATTATTGACTTTGACTGGATACTTCGACTGGATAATCGGTCTCTATTACGCATCTCGATCCTATATCGTCGCTATACAGCATCTTTCTGAAATCTGATATACGAAGCTCTAAGTCTGGTGCGACGTTTCCCTCTCGCCTCTAGAGTTTTACTACAAAGATTTAGGACCCATTTTCTTCCCTTAAGATCAACTAGAAAGACTATTCAGCAAGGCATAGAGTGAAACAGGACATACATAGCTAAGAAGCCACCCGAAAGTATCTATGTTTTTCCATTATCTAGGATGAGTTGCAACGTTAAAAGTAATTGCTGAGCAAAACTCTAAGAAAGTAATTGGCATAGCGGGTTTGACCATGGCGCATTTCAGCATCTCCGAGTTAATGATTTACCTCAGTTGCTGCACAAAAGACGTGTGTCATATATCTTCATGAAACTGTCATGCATGCTATCGTTGTATGAAACTCTCACTGGCCCCATTGTTTATAGGTCTCCAGCTCGTAAGCAAAGTGCCTATCTGCTGGCTCCCAATGCCGCCTGATCCTATGGCTGGGGTTATTGAATCAAATAAGCATAAAATTGTGTAGATCCTTGGGGGGTGGGCACTGGACAGAAGTTTCAAAAACTGTACAGTAGGTTTGATTTCTCCTTTCATGGTGGACTTAGTCCAGTTAGGTTCTCTGATATCCACATCCGTCCGTCTCATAAGATAACGCGTAAGAAGTTCAAGTGCTTAATCGTACCGAGTCATTTGACAATGACACGAAACAAAACCAACTGCGCAATCATATTGTCATCTCTGAGTGCTGCAAGTGCCGAAGGGCATTGATCAGGAAATCTCGCCTCGTTTGGAACGACATCGTTCAGCATAAACACGGCTGGTCTAGGGCCACGTGGGAAAAGATTCGTGATCAAGTCAAAAATAAAAATTGAAGGTAAAGAAACATGATATGGTGAGGGCCGTCAGTTGTTGAACTTTTCCAGGATAGCCCACGTTCCTAGGTATATTGAACACAAACAAGGAAAGTAGCATTTTAGGCTCGCAACCTGTTGTTGCAGCCAACATGGACAAAGATATCCCATCGGGTGCTGTATAACGTCAAGATACACACATCTACTTTGGTCTTCTCTGATACTTATCTGACATGGGACTTTTGATTGCGTGCACCAACTCGCAATAACACGGGCACCAACTCGCAATAACACGGCTACCATACCAGACAAATTGGATCAACACGCGATTCATGCTTGGAGTTTCGTAACCAGTACGTCGCTACAAGTTTTATATGACCCAGCGGTCGATAGAATACTTCCTAGAGGTGGACTACCTAATGAGTTGTGAAGGCTTATTTGTACCCGCGTTGTGCTGAGGGTGTGGCGTGACTGAAGAGTCTATCATGAATAGGAATTAGCAAGGCTATAATTAATAGCTAGCTACCTAAGGTGTTTGGTGTGACTGGGACGTGCGTAGAGTACGGAGGTACGGAGCACGGGGTAAGAGGCACCGAACGAAATTCGCACCCCATGAAAATGACCACCACCGAATCTTTTGCCCTCTTGCAATTAGCGCTTTATCCATCATCTTCCTCTTGCCATCCATCTTTGTTTTGCCCGTGTTAGTCAACACCGCCTTATTTCAGTTACCGTCTAAAGTGCAATGCGACTCTTATGGCGGCGTGTTCAACACTGTGAAAGCCAGGTCACAGCAACTAGCCTCGCAGCCAATTACACCATCTAACGCTGGCACTTCGGTTTTGGGGGAATCTCTTTCAAGTTGATTATCAGGAAACTAGACACATAGCTAACTAAGCCTTTTACACAGTGAGAAACCAAAATTGCGAAGGCTGGCAAGGGGTCAAATTGGGGCCAGCACTCAAGCAGACACGCACGGAGCGGCCGGGCCGCTGCAACTCGTCCTTTCCAACAACATCAGTCGCAGCAGCACCCGATGGCTTCTCATCCGCCGCTGCGCCCATAGTCTCGCCATATGCATCATCCGGATTATCTCCGATGCAATGATGGCACCAGAACAAACTACCTGGGTCGTGCGCCTTCTTCACAGCCAGCAACTGCTCATACGTCTTTTGGCCTGTCACGAGTTATGGCACACAGCAATGGGCATACGGAGTGTGGTAAAGTGGCTTAACCTATCAAAGTGGAAATAGACAAAAGAAAAAGGTCTATATGCAAGATGTAAATGATATACACGTGATACAGCACGTGACGGGCACTTCGTGGTCTGCGGTTACTATCCCTGTTACGTGACATGGCCCCAGTACCTCGCCGTCCAGTTATGCATCACATACGAGCTCTCGGAGAAATAGCTGTTGGGACCGAGCTTGTACAATGTGTCGTCAGATTGCTGCGTCGTCAAGGTGCGCGCGTTCCACAGCATGAGCGCCGAGCGGAAGCCCGGCGAGATGGCCGTGCCGCCCGGCTGCGGGCTTCCGAGGTTGCCCGTCAGCGACGTGTAGAGGTAGTGGAATCCGCAGCGATAACCGTTTGAATCTGGCGACGTCTTATCATTATGCTCCAGAGTCTTGAAGCAAATATCCAGCACATTCATCATGGTCGAGACGAACTCTGTCTCCATGGCCTGTCGCGAGATAAGAACGGAATTCTGAGGCCCTGTGGCCGCGTCGGAGGGCGGGTGCGGTGGCGGCAATGGATTCGTCACGGAGAGGAGGAACTTGTTGGGGGGCATGGTCAGAAGGCACTCAAACGCCGACTTGAAATTGTTTTCCTGCGTGACCTCGGGTTTGGTCTGAAGCACGTCCACGAGGCTGTCGCGGAACAGGACGTAGTCCTGATCTGTCTGACCGCCGGCGTAAAAGTACTCAAAGTTGGACGTCCAGGTGACCGAGCAGAGGTCTCCGGTCGCCTTGTACTGGCTGGGGTCAATAAAGAAGGCAGGCTGCGTGCTGACCTTGGAGTTGAGTCTCAGCTGCCATGCAGTGAAGCGAGTCCACATGTCGCGCAGCCACTGGTAGCCAAAGTCGCGCGAGTCCTGGCAAAAAGTGCCACTCTGGTTCATGAAGACGCGGCTGAGGCCTCCATCCGGAACGGCCTGGGCGCGGATCGTCATGGAGAGAATGACGCCCCAGACACCACCGCCGCCACCGCGCATGGCCCAGAAGAGCTGCGGGTTGTGATGACGACTGGCAATCTTCTTGTGCACTACGGTCTGGCCTTTTGCATCGCGACCAACCTGCAGAACCTCAATTTCGAGTAGGTTATCAACGCCTAAGCCCAAAGACGGTGCAAAGGGCCCATGGCCGCCACCGAGATGAAAGCCGACCATACCAACGGTGGAGCACCAGCCCGAAGCAACGACGCGGTTGTGTTTGGCTGAGAAGGCGTGCATCTCGGCAAAGATGCAGCCGGCGCCGAAGCGGAATGCACCGGCAGGGGCCAGGGCCTTGTCCTCGTCCCAAGTCGCCAAAAAAGGACTTATCCTTGAGCAAGATTGTGCGGACCAGAATGCCGCCAGTTGGGCATGAGTTGCGGCTGTTGTACTCGTGGCCGGTACCAGCAGTGGCTATACACAGACGGTGCTGCGCGGCAAACGTGAGGGCGGCGGCAATATGACGCTCGTTGAGCGGAAAGACGACAATGAAGGGATTCCAGTTACGGTACTCGTTCTGGTGCAGCGCCGCCTTGCACATGTCAGACGCCGTGTTCCATTCGGAAGAGCCATCCTCCAGAACGAAGCACGGGCGCTGCATCTCGGCAACGTCCTCGTAGTAGTACAGCGCTTTGAGACCCTTAGGCGCATCACCTAGGCCGTAGAAGGACTGGTCGTTGATGGATCCCGTTGGGACCGGCGCTGGCTGCGGCTGCGGGTATTTGCTCCACCGGACGCCGAGCCGGGGCACGGTGGGATCCAGCGCCTGCTCCAACTTACGAATGGCTATCTTAGTGGGTCAGCAGCTAGAGTCTTGAGGCGTACACCAGTCGTGGCGAAGGCCATCGTTCAGTGTTTCAAGACGCGGCGAAGAGGATAGGGCACCGGCGGATGATGCTGTTTCTGCTTGTACCGAATCGGCCGGATCGCACGAGCCGGCGCCGCAGAAGTCATTCTGAGGGCCGCACGAGTAGCGGCAGTGGGTGTTGCACGGATTGCACCGGCCCATGACCCATTGAGTTTCCAAGCTTAGCGTATTCTTCTTCTTCTTGTTTACGAATGCTGCCGGCTGATTCGGCGCCCCGCAGTCTAGCACGGCATATGAGTATAAGTCGACCCACCCCCTTTTGGCCACCCCCCCCATTTGGCCACCCCATTTCTCCATCCCAGCCACCGCATTAAAACCCTACCCTTAATTTATAAACCACCACAATAATTATAAAAATTATCTAAATACAATTCTTTTTTATATACTTATTTATTAATATATTATAATCTCGTATACTAAAAATAAAGTTAATTAAGCTTTTATAACTATTAAAAACGGTTTCTTAATTAATAGGGCCTCGATTAAATTTAGAGTTCTAAGGTTAATACTTCGTAATTATAAAAAAAGTTACTAAACGAGAATAATAATATTTATAAACCTCTAAAAACTTCTCCTATAATAAAAAACTAGCTAGCTTAATAAGTTCGTATTTAGTATAATCTAAGTATTATATTAACCTATAAATAGGTTAAAAATTTACTAAGCGAGTTTTAAAATCCTAAGGGATATAAATCTTTTAAAAAAATAAATAGACGCTTTCTTAAGGAAGAACTTATTAATTAAAATCTAGAGAAATCGTATTATTAATTCGTAATATCTAAATAGGGCTATTATTAATATAATTAAATCGTAGTTTAGATTACTTAATATACTAAAAATTAATAATATTAAATAGGCTAATAAATATAATATAAATAAGATTAGTATTTTAAAAGGTAAAGGGTTTAATAGCCTAGTTTTAAGTATAACTAAGATTATAATAATATAAAAAGAGCTTAGTTCGCGTATTTAGGTATCTATAATTAAATATATTTCTATTAATAATCGAGCTATTAAACTACTAATTATATATAAAAGAAAGTTAGTATAGTAGTAGTAGTTTTTATTTAAACTTAACCTATATATTAGTTAGGAGTTTATAGTAATAAAAATAACTAAATTACTAATAATACTACTCTTAAGTAATTAAAAATAGTATTCTTATTATAAATTAAAACCCCTTAGGAGCTTAACTTACTTAATAAGTTTCGACTATTAGTTTTAAATAGATATAGGAGTTATATAATAACTAGATTTATATAGAGTATTATAAAAATAATATCTACTTACTATTCTTATTTTTATATACTTTTTATATCCTCTAGCTATTAAATATAGCTATTTTTAAACTTATTAAATTTAAATATAAAAAGAGCTTAGTAAAGAGAAATAATAAATAATTCTACTATTATTAAAAAGTAGTACTTTTAAACTATTATTTAAGGGCTCGTTTAAGTAGTTTAACGTCGTTAAATATACAAAATAAATAAAAAGTAATTAGATTATATCCTCCTAATATAACTAAACTACTTACTAATTCTATAGTCCTACTAATATTAATTATATTAACTAAAAGATTATAAATACTAAATAAGTAATTAATAATATTAGAAAAGTAGTTAATTAAGTATTAGTAATATCTATTATTAACTAGTTAACTCCTAAAAACTAGCGAGCTCTATAATTAATTAAAATTATTTATAAAGCTTAGTCTAAACTATAATACTTAACGCTTACTATTTAAAAAATAAAAAAGTATTTGTGAATAAACACTACTTAGCTATATTTTAGTACTAAATTTAAATTCTAAAGCTAAAATTAACTAATTAAGGCTTAAAAAAAGAGTATACTAATAAACTTAAAACTTAAATACTAGGTTTATTAATATTTAGAATATATAGAAAGCTTAGGAGGACTCTAGTAACTGTCTTATTAATCCTAGTTGACTTATAGGGGTTAAATTACTTAGGGAGAATAATAACTATATTATTATGGTAGTAAAAGGTAGTTAATTAATTAAGTATAGTTAGTAGCGATGTTTTGATACCATGTTTTGTTAGGGTGGCCAAATGGGGGGGGTGGCCAAAAGGGGGTGGGTCGACTTACCGGCTGGAACTGGAACTGGAAACGACATGTGGTGATATCACCATTGGTGCTGGCAAGGAGTACTACGCTGGGATCCTCGTCCGAATGCGAGACTGAATAGTGATGCACGCCGCGGACGGGGTAGTTGGGCCACTGCAAGGACGCTTGACCGTCGGTAGTGAAGTTCCATTGCGCGAGGCCTTCTTGATAGTGGCTGGATACCTGCAGTGTGCGCCACGATCCCAGCAGCGAGGGAAGTGCCCCGGCAATGCCATGTTCAGAGTGGCTAACAGGGCTGATGGGCTTGGAGTCAGCCTCGGGCTCGGTGTTGGTCTTGGTCTCCTCCTTAGGCTTGCTGCCAGCCGCCGATATGCCGTCCGGAGAAAAGGAACATCCTGCCGCTGACGTCTTACAGCGGAACATGAGAAAGTTGCCGCACCCGGGTGTATCCATAGCGGCATAGAAGCTGGCCGGCGCCGGCTCTCCAGGGTGGTTGCATGCCAGGAATGCCACCTCGAGCTCGCCAATATCTGGCAGCCGTGACACTAAGCAGTCCTCCACGTGGGCCTTTGAGCCGCTGCCGCATCGCAGGACCAGCTCACCGGCGTCGCGCCGTTCGTAGGTGCACGTCTGGGGGTATGGACTGTCTGTGGTAACGGTCATGACGTTCTGGTTGTCGATGTCGGTGAAGCTCTGCGCGAACTCGAACTTGCCGGACCCGAGCTGCTCAGCGCCAAATGAGCGCCAGGTGCCCTCCCAGGGGGAGATGTTATCGCTGCTCGTAAGGGCCGGCATAGCAAAGTCCAAATGCAGCATCGGGAAACTTCCGTTTCCGATGCTTTCGCTGTTCACGCTGTCGCTCTCCACCTGCTGAGGTGCGTTGTTGGGGTCAAGCTGAACGGTGCTGTTCAGCTGCGCCGGCGAACATGTGTCCCAGGAGTCACCACACGCAAAGCACTGGTCGATACAGTCACTCGACATGCGCGGCATGCTCTCTCTGTCGGTGCCGGACCAGCCCACGGTTGCCAAATACGCGCACTGCACGCAGCCGGCGCTAACAAGCGGCTCGTTATCCTTTCTAATCGGCAGGCGATCACGTAGCGCGGCATTTTCGTTGATCTCGTTGGCCATCACAAATGCTGTGCGGAAGTAGGCCTCCTGTGGCATCCGGAACGCCGAACCATCAGCGCCAGGGATGACTGCGCAAGTGCCATGCTTCATCCATTCGGACATGATGAAGCATTGCATGGTATTCTTGAACTTTGCGTTGGTCGGCCAGAAGTAATTGAGCAGGCCAGAAAAGGTCGTGAGGATCGTCTCGTCAAACTCCTCGCCATTCAGGCAGCTGTAGGGTTGGTTCTTGGCACCGGTGCCGCCAGACGACCCAGGCCACAGTCCATGTAGCGTGATATCGGCTGCGTGCTCGGCAAAGTTGTTCCTCTATACCGCCAGCGTGTAGGCGTCGATAGGAATGAGCCCCGCCGGCTGGCGCAACGAATTGCACAGCGAGTATGGTGGTGGCTTCTGCTGCAGGCCGCCATGTTTGTCCTTGGTGACGCATTTGCTCTTCCACTTGAGGTCGCACGTTTTGGGGTGGAAGTTAAGCTCGTTGAAGCGTCGCAGCGGGATTGGGTTGGAGGAGCAGTCATCCGACTTGCCGGAGCACCACTGCGCGGTGACCAGGCTGATCAGGGTCAACACTAGTGCAAGTTGCGCATGGCAAGCTATGCCTGCTTGACGATGCATATTGCTGGGTTGATGTCGTTCGTTTCTTTATATCGATGTTATTGTTTCTCTTAAATCTTACTGTTTAGGTGTCTGGGGCAGGAAGTTAGGCGGACATGGTGACTCTATATATTTCATACAAGGTGTGCCCTGATCTTCTGCCCATTCATCGCCAAATGCCAATTGCCAGACTGCTGTATCCGTTATCTGCGCGTGTAAACGACGGATCACACTTCCTTGTATGATCAAACATCTTTTGGTTATATTTTGACGGCCGAATTCGGTCTCTTGTTCTTGCCAAAGTCAAGGGATGCATTTTTGCTCTAGCAGGCTGGAACTGGCCGGAACTGGCACAGATTCCTGCATCAGAGCCACCTCTCCGTTTAGTCATGGAATCTCACGTACCAACGACCAATTGCCATCTCTGATGCCAGCAATGATCCCAGGGACCTAGAGCTGAACGTGAGAGCCAACGTTTTGCTGGCGGCCTTTAGCTACGGCGGCTGAGTCCGCAACTATCGCAAGCGGCAGGTGAGTGAGCTGTTTTTTTAGGGCGAGCTGAGATGGGTTGGGTTGAGTGACACCAAGTCATTAGGGGCAGAAGCTCACGTGCACGAGACATTAGTCGAGGCCCAAGCCACGAAGAACCCAATCCACCATCCACAGCGACTTAGAATCCGGCCCAGGCCTGTTGGCTCACTAAGGTTAATCGCGTGCCGTGCCGCCTCGATCGCCCAAAAGCTTGATGGGCGTGGAATCAAGTTTAAGCTAGGAAGCAGGCCCTTCAACAGTCTAGGTACATTCCAGCCAACACACATGAGGAACATAATCTCGTGTCTCCCGGGCATCCGCTACCTACTAAGTTGCCGCGAATTTGAGGTCAGCCAAGATTTCTCATTTCCTACTACCATCGTGGCTCCTCAACAACCGAAACTGGTTTAAAGGACGGAAAAAACTTATGTATTCGAGACGAAGTTGAGTCGACAGCCTGTTTCTCTCCGCGCCTTATGATGCTCCCTTAAATGAAAGAATGGGAAGGACTTTTGGGCCTAAATCCATCAATGAGAATCACTGCAGTTCGGGAAAGTGCTGCCAAAATGGAAACAGGGTGATTCACAAGGAGATACGAAGTAGGGGATCTCACTACTGAAGACTGACGACTCGAAGT